CGGCGGTGGTTCTGGGGATTCTCCGGCATCGGAGGAGGAGGAGCGGGGGTATGATGGGAAATTGATCGGAGGATTTGGAACGGGGACTTTCTTTTCTCTCTCTCTCTCTCTCGTCTCTCTCCTCAGATCGGAGGAGGAGAGGGAAATGAAATTTGAACGAGACAGAGTTGGCCTGGGGGATGTGGGAGCCCCCTTGTTTTAAGTCTTTCTTTCATATATTGAAACTAGTCTGCTGTCCGTGCAAAGCACGGGTTTGCTACAGTTTCCCGCCTTTTTTAAATTCTCCTGTTTTGAATTTTCTGTGGGTGCTACAGTAACCCGCTCTGCTACAGTGCTACTCCGAACTGCTACAGTAACCCGATCTGCTATAGCGCCCTTTTAATTTAACATCTGCTACAGTAATAACGCTACAGTAAATCTACTGTAGTACTTACTGTAGTATGAACAGTGACTCTTTGTTTCTCCCTTTCGTATAAAGGAATAGATTAGTCCATCAAGTCTTTAGTATTTCAAAGTTAGTCAACCAAATCTTCATATTTCAAATTAGTCCCTTAAAACTTTAAGAGTTACGAACTTAACCCCCACATCTTCACATTATGAGCTAGCCCCTCAAATCCTTTTAAATAATTACAAATTAGTCCATCTTAGCAACGGGTTGAAAGTTCTGGGGGCTGATTTCAAAATACTTAAAAAGAATCGGTAATTAGTTTCAAAATATGAAGATTCAGGGGACTAAATTCAAAATATGAAGACGTTGGACAGTATTTTTAAAACACTGAAGGCTCCGTTTGGATACCATGGTGATTTACTTGTTTCCATGGTGTTTTTGTAAAAAAACAAAACATCATACGTTTGGAAACCATGGTGTTTTTTGAGCTAAATCATCATCAAACCAAAAACACTACACTTATTTCAAAACACTTTTTAGGTGTTTTAAGTTTGGTGTTTTGGTTTTGAGTTTGAGAAGATGTTAATATAATGTCTAACATAATATATTAAATGTAATTAATATAGAGTTATTATCAACATGCTTATTATATATATTATACTATACTATACCATATTATAGTTAATTTAATATATTAGTAATATTTATTAAATAATATAAAAATATAATAAATAAATATCTTATATAATAATATAACAACATATTAAATACCAATATTTAATATGTTAATAATGTATTATATAATAAATAAATAATAATAAAATATAAATAAACTAATAAAAAATAATAATAAAGTTATTGATAGTAGTAATAATATAATAATATACTATACAGTAGTATAATCGCTATAATATTATAAACTTTTAATAAATAAATTGTAATAAATTAATAATTATAAATATTATATAATAGTAACATATTTAATAAATAACATAACATATAATAATAATAATATTATAACATATTGTTATTGTAAATATAATATAATATATAAAATATTAATATATTCTATTAATAAATAATATAATTTATTATAAAGTAAAATAATTTTTAATAATAAAAAATTTATTCCTGACAAAATTTTTAATGTAAAAATAATATATTCATAATATAGTAATATTTATTTATATCGTAAATACTAATATATTATTAAAGTACTATTAATAAACTCTAACATATTAAAAACTATAATATATTATATAATATTAATATATTTATAATATATTAATTTATTAATAACATACTAGTAATAATATAATATTAACATTATTAATAATATTATATTATATGAATAATAGTATAATAATATATTATATTAATAATAGTATTAATATTATATTAACAATAAAATCACATTATCAAATTCAGACAGCAAACCTCATGTCGCACTTGTAAAGAAAAGCATAGTATACAGAGAAACAATAGAAAGAGGAATATATGTCGGAATTACATATTTTCTTTCTCTATATTATCTTCTATATACAGAGATGTAGAGTACAATGATAAGGCTCAAATCTCTTGATTATAGTCATGGATTGTTGTAACTATATACAGGTACATTCCCTTGATTTCAGCCTTACACTATAAACAATATACAGCTATATGGTTGTAACTGAATGTCAGGTATAAGGTATAAGGTTGTAATTGAATGTTTAAGTGAATAATTGAATGTTTAAGTGAATGCAGAGATCTTGCACATATCTCGCACATCCCCCCTCAAGCTCATGACGGGTTATCCCGTAAGGAGAGCTTGTCCCGTAGCCAAAGAAAGCGAGGAGTAGAGAGAGATTTAGTAAAGATATCAACGACTTGAGCTTTGTCAGGTAAATGAGAGAGAGTGATTGCACCTCGAAGGACATGAGCACGTATGAAATGAACATCGATGTCAATGTGCTTAGTCCTGCTATGGAAGACTAGGTTTTTGGACATGTGGATTGCGCTAATATTGTCGCATAGAATTAACGGAGGATTGGACATGTGAACTCTGAGAAACCGAAGCATATGTAAGAACCAAAGAACCTCAGTAGTTCTGGAAGCCAATGCGCGATACTCAGCCTCCGCACTAGATCTAGAGACAATAGATTATTTCTTAGATCCCCGAGAAAGAATATTTTGCCCCAAGAACACTGCATATCCCGTTGTTGAACGTCGACTATCTAGACAACCAGCCCAGTCTGCATCCGAAAACGCACGAATTTGAAGAGAAGCGTCTTTAGAAAATCTAAGTCCTAAGGATAGAGTACCTTTGACGTAGCGGAAGATCCTCTTGACAGCGGCAAGATGAGAGGAGCATGACTTTTGCATAAATTGGCACACATGATTTACTGCATAAGTAAGATCCGAACGTGTCATCATTAAGTACTGAAGGGAGCCAACCATCTGTCGGTAGATCATAGGATCATGAAGAGGGTCCGGGGCCGAAGATGAGAGTTAAAGTCCGGCTTCGAGAGGACTCTTGATAGGTTTAACACTAGAGAGACCAAACCGATGAAGAAGGGTGAGTGCATACTAAGTTTGAGAAAGAAATAATTAAGATAATGGTGCATACAGAGAGCCCAGTCTGCATTCTGTACAACTTGCATGCCTAAGAATAAATTAAGAGCTCCTAAATCCTTCATGTCAAACTCTGAAGAAAGACGTCGAATGAGCCGAGAAAGTAGGTGATCATGGGTTCCGGTGATGATAAGATCATCCACATATAGTAACACGAGAATGGTGTAGTTACCTTGATTCCACATAAACAATGAAGTATCATGAGGACAGTTGATGAATCCAAACTGTTGAAGAAAATTGGTAAACCGAGTGTACCATGCCCCTGGAGCTTGACGTAGACCAAAGTGCCTTGTGCAAGTGACAGACATGATTCGGACGGGCTAGATCAATGAATCCTGGTGGTTGTTGGAGGTAGACGACTTCGTGCAGATCTCCATGTAAAAATGCATTCTTTACGTCTAATTGTCGGAGCGGCCAGCTATGTGAGAGTGTCAAGGAGAGAATAAGTCACACAGTACCAGATTTGACCACGGGACCGAAACGTTGATTGAAGCCTTTTGCGACCAATCTGGCTTTGTAGCGGTCGATGGAGCTGTCCGCACGATGTTTCAGTTTGTAGACCCACTTACAGCTGACGATATTCATTGAAGGAATAAGGGGTACAAGAGTCCAGGTTGAGTTACGCTGAAGGGCATCATATTCCTCTGTCATAGCCTGCTTCTAGTGAGGATCAGTTGCCGCCTACTTATACGTAGAGGGATCTGCGACATGATTCTGTAATGGAAGCAAGTGCCAAGGGGATCGGATGGCGAGTTGCACAGAGGCCTTTTGGATGTCGGGTCCCGTCGTGGGAGCGAGTGATCATGGAGTGATGAGGGACTGATGGTGGTGGATTAGGATCAAAGGGTGCTGCCCGAGGACCACCTCGAGTACCTCGAGCGTGCTTAATAGGAACATGAGTAGGCCATGGTGGCGGCAACAGAGATGTCTTATTCAAGGAGATAGGAGCAGTATTCTCAGTTTCTGGTGCAGCAAGTTCGGATGCAGCAAGTTCACCACCATTTGTAGAAGGCCCATGAAGTGTGGGGCAATGATCAACTGGTTCATGTGGTGCAATTCCATGATCCTGGATTTCCGCGAAAGGAGCTGGTATGAACTTGGCCTTTGTTGACATGAGATGAAGCTGTTGTCAAATAATGAAATGCTTGATCTGGAAATGGATGGGTTCGAAACACTGGTGAAGCAGTGCTAGATGTTTCCTGTGATATTCTTGCAAATGGAAAAGAATTTTCATCAAATGACATATGTCGTGAGATATAAATTTTGCCAGATAAAGTATCCAAGCACCGATAACCCTTATGTTTGCCACTGTACCAACAAACACGCATTCAAGTGACTTGTAAGCCAGTTTATCACGACCAAAGGGATCAAGGAGTGGAAAACAAGCATAACCAAATACCCGTGGATGAGCATAATCAGGTTTTTGACCAAAAATAGTCTCGAAGGGAGTTTGACCATGTAAAGAGATAGAGGGTAAACGATTTATGAGGTAAACAGTAGTGGTAAAAGCATAATTCCAGAGATGACGGGAAGAGAGCTATGGGCTAACAGTGTGAGACCAGTTTCTACAACATGACTGTGCTTGTGTTCAGCAAGACCGTTTTGTTCAGGGGTTCTTGAGCAAGAGAAAATATGAATAATGCCTTGACTTGCAAAAAAATCATGAAGTTGGTGACTTACATATTCACCACCAGAGTCTGATTAGACAAACTTAACACGACTATTGAGTTGATTGTGCATCAAAGTTATAAATTGGATAAATATGGATGGTACTTTCGATTTTCAATGTAAAGGAAAGTACCAAGAGAACCGTGAACATTCATCAACAATGATCAAGTAGAACCGAAAACCTTCTATTGATGGAGAGGGAGAAGGTACCCACACGTCACTATGTAATGTGTGTAGAATCTGATCCATATAATTTGTACGACGAGTGAAGGGAATTTTGGAAGATTTGCCAAGTTTACAACTACGACAACAAACTTT